CTGACGAAAAACACTACCAAATGCAGAAGTGCCTACAAAAAAGAAAAAAAAAAAAAAAAAAAAAAGAAATATACAGTACATAATATTAATTATTATACCTAACATTGTTCAATTGTCAATTAATTTAGATGCTTTTAAATTAGACAAAAGATCAAAGGGAATATAAATTAACAGTAAAAAAATAAATACATTAATGGAAACTTAATGAGAGCTAATTAGCTTCCTCAATTTATACCTAAGCTGAGCCGTGACACATGCATGTCAGTTTTTCCCAGCTGTACATATTGCATCTTCTTCACCAAGTCCACATCATGGAAACCCTCTACATAGGTCACTGGCAAGCTCATCTTCTTTTACTACTGCTGCATGGATTAACTAGTACACACACTATGCTGTGGCCTGCAAAATAAATAAGGGTGATTTAATATTTACAGAACAGGCTGCAAGCACTTTCCAAGGACATATCTTGCAGTTCCATTGATTCCTTGCATTGTGTACGTGTGGCATTGTGTGCAAATGACTGTCAATATCACATAAATTCTGTTGTAAGTTACATATATTTATATCTTTTCTTTGCACATCCTTACCTTCAATGGGACAATGTCCACTATATATAGCCGGTGGAGATAAAGCCGGAGGCACGTTGAATAATCGTGTTTAATCTTTGAAAATTTAGGTCAGGATTTATACGTACCTCTTCACGTAAATAGGGGCGAGCATTGTTGTAGTTGGGACAAAGTGTCAAACGAGGGCATGAGGAAGTAACAGCACAACAGTATTGATTGCGGTAGTTGTGACTGAAATCGAAATGTGAGTGTGCTAGTTGCGCTTCGAGTGCTCGGCTACAGCGATTTTCTGCTGAACTGTCGTCATATAACGGCGTGGTTGGAGCATCGCCTAACAAACAGTGAAGTTATAGGGGGAAAGAAGCTTATATATACTTTATATTGATAGAGATAGTTAATCGAGAATTCGGAAGGAAAAATGCCGACAATAAAAGAAGAAGACGCAGACAGTGGGCTAGATCTTACAGGCAGTGCACCGAATGTCGGCTCCCAAGAATCGGAACCAAAGAAAGATGACGACACGGTTACTAAAAGCCCCGAGAAAAAGACTCTTGCTAGACCCCAGGATGTCGAAGCAGACGATGACGACGAGGAATTAGATGAGACTTTGACAGAAAGACTAATCGGTCTGACTGAAATGTTTCCAGAAAGTGTACGTAATGGAGTTGGGTGGATTCTGGAGAATTCCTGGGACGGAGTCAAGTCCGCTTACGGATTCAGCCGAAAAGCTTTGTGGATCGGCATGGTGACTGTTCTGATAACTGTCGTGCCAGCGCAGTTAGAGTTGGAAAGGATGAACATGGCGAATCAACAAAAGCAGCAGGAGCGACAGATGTTGCTGGGCCCCCACGCCGCCTTTTCAAGCAGCAATGTCCCTCAAAATGCGATGCCAATGATGGCAATGCCTGGCGGACCTCCTCCGCCTCAGTGAACAAATATTTGACATTCAGATGATGTAGTAACAAATACAGTTTAGACAGAAAAAACATTTGCACCTATTAAATATTTTGATTATTGATGATTTGACCAGCAAGTGTTGTTTGAAATGAGTTTCTTTATTTTCCTTCAGCACTGCTTAGTTAGGACATTTTTTTTTTCAAAAATGTCCAAGAAAAAGGTGTTGTAGATATATGTGAAGCTTTCAGTGTGTCATGGACTTAAGTTCAGAGACGGGAGACTAAGATGGAAGGCAGCGGTCATGTCTTTATTGTTTGAATTGCCAGTGACAAGATGAGTGGTCAAGACAAAAATATCAGGCCTCAAGATTTTGTAATTATACCAGATAAACTGTTACTTCAAGAAAGCTTTGCTCTTTGATATCACCATTTCATGAGAGTGAACTATGCCATTTGTTTTAGGAGACAAGTCCCTAAGATCTGAGACACTTTTGACAGTCACGTTAAAAATGTCCAGTTTAACTCAACTCTAACTCGGCCTGGATGGAAGATTTTCAGATGGATTCTCCTATATTTCTGGACCATGTTTTTCCCAGTTTTCTGGTAGTAGGAACTTGTTCATTGAAAAGAGTATCTTAATAAAATCTTTAAAAATTAATTTTTTAGTTTATCATTATTTGCAGAAAGAAGTCAATTCCAGCATCATTACTTGACTTTATGAATTTTATGTAGACTTGTAATGTTTGGATGAAAAACTCATTATTATTCAAGAATATTACAAATTAAAAACCATGGGAAAACAATTAACAAGAAGCACCATATATTTATTGCACATTAAGCAAACCAGATGTAAGTTACAAAAAATAAAGCTGACTGCATAACAAGATGCTGACAAAAAGGACACATTAACAAAAGTCTTTGATTGTCGAGCAATTCAAATTGAACTTCACGTCACTGATAATCATGCTTTGGGCCCTCAAGCACCCCGATTTTAAAAATTTGCTAGACAATGACCTCTGCTACCAGTATTCTAATAGCAATAAAAAGGTGTGGTTTTGCGTAGATGCATCTTGTCACACTGACTACATCGGTTAAACCGTAAGAACATTTTTCCAACCAGAATCTATTTCACTAAGTACGTGTAATTAGACATTGTGACCTAATACTTTGTGTTATATCAGTAAATGCATGACAAGTTTAACATTCATAATAATATTCAGGCACTGGCTCATTTCATAAGGAAAATATTACGTAGTCCTTGCTTAAAAGAAATTCATATAACAAACAATGACACATATATTTACTTTAAAAAATAAATTTTTAAAAAAAGTACGATGCATTCAATAAAATATACAATAACTTACTCGACTAGTTGTACATCATCTTACATTCGTTACATGCAATTCAAATACAAATGCACTGCACATATTGTATGTAACTATTCTACTGGATATTTTAAATATTTCTACTTTCATAATTCCTATGATTGTCCTGCATGCCCCGAGTATCAGAGTCTATTAGACACCAGAATTTCATATCAGCATATCTTAGTGTTGCCAGCAGTATTCTGATTCTCGGGGTATTCACTGCTCTAAGTAGAGGAACTACCAGGATGTTGGATGAATATTGGCCTCTTACTATGACCATAGGTTGGTTAAGTGTAAAACTCATTTCCAATATGCAACTATCGTTCCATGTACATTGCTCCAACTGACTGGGGACTCTTGCTGAATGCAATCAGATTACCAGATCAACACGCCTCATCATCTGCTTTTCTGTATTCTACTCAATGCCAGGAGGATGGGCGTTTATCTCTTAGCTTGACTGCATTCAGCATGAGTCCCCATCGGATCGATCTAGGCAGAACAGGTTTTATTGGGAATGAGATTCTAAGCATATGTCCCTACCCCCCCCCCTACCACCCCAACCCCATTCCTACACTCTTCATGCTTCAAATTGTTTATATAATACTACCATGCAAGACATGTAAATTAATGGACCCTAGAAAATCTAATTTATACCTATTATTCAAATATCCTGGGTGTTGACCTTTTAGTTTTCACATGCAAAAATTTTTGTGGTTCTTTGGTTTTGAACTCTGACATAAATACTGTATGCATGTAAGTAATTGCACAATTTATTTACAGATAAAGCATTCCCTGTTTCTCCTCCTCTGACCCCACCCATTCAACATTACTGCAATGCTCCTCTTTTAACCCACCCCTACCCCACCCCCTACTCAACCAAATATTTGACATTAGCACGTTGAGTTTTCAAAATTAAGGCTTCGTTCACATGCAATGTCTATTTTCTAAATTCTATTTTCTATTCGCGCTATCTTATGATCACGGTCTGTGCACTGAATATCCCGCCGCGTAATTACTGGCAGCGCGAGCCAGTTACTTATAGTAACTTAT